CACTGTTGGTGGAAATAGAGGTTTCCAGCTGATATCCAACTTTTGTTGCATTGTCAGAAGATGTTGCGATTTGCAGGAGTTGTTGAGCATCTACAGAACCATCAGAAACTTCATCTACACGATTCTCGTCCATCGTCAATGTCTTAGCTGCGATCAGGAGCTTGCTCCGCCGTCGCCGCCGTTGAGATAGCTGTTGCGATCAGATCTCGTCGCCGCCGTTGCGATAGCTGCTGCGATCAGGATCTCGTCGTCGCCGTTACAGTAGCTGCTGCGATGAGGATCTCGTCGCCGCCGTTGCAGTAGCTGCTGCGATGAGGATCTCGTCGTCGTTGGATCGTCGCTGTTGCAGTAGTTGCTGCGATGAGGATTCGTCACCCTCGTTCAGCCTCGGCGCCGCGCGATTGGAGAGAGAATAAAGTGGGGAGAGAGAAACAAGCTGGAAATTTTCGGACAAAAGGAGCTGGAAATTTTTGGTAGGACAAAAATACCCTTCCTTTGTATTTTACCCTAGTCAACGCATGAATTTCAAAAGTATGCAGAATGGTGGTTTCTAATGGTCCACCTATGTTGTTGTTACAATAACAACAAATATGGCGTTGTCACCATATCCGGTCCCAGGATACAGGATTATCACTCTCACTTGTCGACTCAAAGACATACTAAAGAGGAGAAATCAAGAAGCGTAGGATATAAATCAGGATAGCGTAAGACCTGTTGCGCCACACAATGGGCAGCCCGATTCGCATCTCGAGCTGTGTAAAATCTTTGGGATTTTAAACAAGGGGTTTGTCCAAAATTTCTCATCAATGAAATCCTTGATCCAAATGACCCTTTAAGTATTTTTTGGTGTTAGATAATTTGATTTTCATATTTGGATTATTTTTATTTTATTTTAATTATTTATTTATTTATTCTATCCTATAAATGGAAAATAATCTTAAAATCGCAACTCAAATATCACTGATCTGAATATAGCATATCAAGTTGCAGTGTTAAATATGTAGAAGTGATGTAGAGTTCTTAACTATTGCAATTTAAAATATATCATTTTATACCTCTCTACTTAATACGACCCTGGGGGGTTGTATGTTATCAAAGTTACGCAGCAAACACAATCAATCCGAAGATTGATTGAACTTGAATCAAGAACAACGCATTCTTAATACGAAATTGGTTAAAACGGAACCAAAAGGATAAATCCACTCCTGGGGATAGCTCGATCGGGGTAAAGGGTAGTTGTTCGACCAGGATTTAAGTGACTATTCAATCTATACACAAGCTCAACAAGTTTGGATTCCCCCAAACCCAACAAGTTCGCAAACTTGAACAAACCAAACGGTTTCGATTTCTATTCAACAAAGTCTGACGATTACAATGCAAAAGACGAGTTTATATAGGCCTAGCTAGGGTTAACTTTTGTACAAGCATCTCCTAATTACATTCTAATACGAATAAGAACTAAAAAGTAGAAAAAAGAACATAATCCTAATCGTAAACAATTCTGTTTTTACAAAGGCAGAATTTTGTGACTTTGTACTAACTTTGAGCCTTTTGTTCGAAGCCTTCCAGATCTAAAATCTTTCATCCAATTCCTTCTCTTTGTATACAAACATACCTAGTTTCATGTTGTGGAAGCCTTTGGACTCGAATTAGATCCATGCTCATCGAATTGAGATCCAAAATAGGCTTCACAAACACGTTTCCAGACAACCATTTTCTGGCAGTTTTCTAGTTTTGACATAGACTTTTGGTGAGCTTGAAAAATAATCTTCCTGACTTCTCGTTGAGAAACCAAGCATACCAATGTGTATTTAAACACTCCATCTTCAATATATACCCTTAATATTGAATTTTCATCAAACCAATTGTGAGAACCATGCCTCCAAAGTAGGCATCTCGAAACTGTTCCAATACTTAACCAAAATCTGCCTCTTTTCTTCTCAACCTTGATAGCCTCTTTTCTTCCACCTCATCATTACACTTACTTTGTCAATATGATTTATCATATGAATTATTTAATAAAAACAAATTAAATAATATAAATTAATTACCAGCCCGACAATCTCCTTTGCTACGTCGACGAAGAGACCTAGATGGTCGTCGTCCACCGATCGACGACCTTCTCCTCCCTAGTCTCCAAACTCTATGGCTCGCACAAACGACGGGCCAATAAGGTTAGAAAGCAGGGGAAAACCAGAAATCTGACGGTGCTCCCTCCCTCGATCGGCCATCTCAGTCCAGCGGTTGTTTATGTGCTCCTTTCCAGCCTCCAACCAATTCTCAAAAATGGAAAATATGATTAAACTAAAAAAATGTCGTTGCTCATGACTCCAAAAGTCCAATGCCCCCATCGCCATTATTTTTAATACTCTCAGTATCTTCCTTTCCTCCATCGTCATCCAACCGTCTTACCATAAATTTAACTCCGCCACTCTATGCCTATATAATCCCCTCTTCCCCTACCAAACCCCACATTAAATCCCACTGCGAAATCATCCTATCCCCTGCTTAGTTACCCGTGCAAGCAAAGAGAGCCAAAACCCCCTGTTTTCCAAAAACAATTTCTCTCTTCGTCCTAGATTTTTACTCGACATGGCTCGTGCTTCTGGTGTTGTGTTGATTCTATTGGTTTTCATTTCCGCTTCGTTCTTCTCTAACGCGGAGGTGAGGAAGCTGCTGGTAACGAGCGGGAACGGCGGGGGTGGAGCAATAAATGTGCAAACTCTGTTCCAGAGCTTGCTTTTAAGTGTCGTTCCGAAGTAGGGATGGGAACGGGGCGGATCGGATCGGGGGCGGGAACATGCCTCCCGATCCCCGCCCATACACCTCGACGGATTTCCCCATCCCCGTCCCCGACGACTAAATGAGGGGAGATTGGCTACCGTCCCCATCCGCCGACGGATTCGGGTAACCAACGGATCCCCACGGATCATGGTCTAAACAAAAACCAAACACTTCCTGAATAATACATTTGCATTAAAATAGTAACTTGATGGTCAAGCCACCGAAATAGAAAACAAAAAAAAGAAAGATCTGGGGCTGTAACCCATATCCCAGCACCCAGCACCCAGATCCTAAAATTCAAACAAACAAACAGGCTGCAGCAAACAAACAAACTGCTGCAACCTTAATCCCACCACCCAAAACCAATCAATCATGTTCATCATGCTAGTACTAGTGTTCAAACTTAAAAAGAACATAAAATGAAAAACAAAGGCATTCAGCCTAATCGTTCAGAAATGATAAAATGAAAAACAAAGGCATCTACGCTGGAGACCAACTTTCCTCGACCTCAACTGATTTGAACAACATTCCTCCTTTGTCACAAGTTCCATTTGTTCTGTAAGAAAGAAAACAAAAGTGTTAGAGAATTGAAACTATCAATAAAACTCATCAATCATAAGTATTGTGCTACTGATCACTAGTACTTTACCTTTGCACTGGTTTTTCTCAAATAGTCAAACTATCAATCATCTAGGGATAGTGGACCACGGTTCATATTGCCGAGTTCCTCTTGTTCTGCAAGTAAGGAAACAAAGGTGTTAAGAGAATTGAACTGAGATTAACAAGGAAACGAATTGAAGAACCAAGTAACTTACCCTTTGTTTGATCTTCAGCACTTGTATCTGCAAGTGCTAGAGCTGAAAACAATCCTTCCATTGCCTTAACATCAGCCTTTGACTCTGCAAAAAATGAAACAAAGGAAAATAGTTAGAACAATGAACACTCTAATAAACCAGAAAGTTCAGTTGTTGCATATTACCTTGTTGCATTAAATCAATGATCCAATTACGAGTACACATCATTGCCTCCACTGTATTGTAGTGAAGCCTGCTCCGGTGAGGGTCTAATAACCTCCCACTAGAGCTGAAAGCAGATTCAGAAGCCACTGATGTGACTGGAATGGCCAGGAAATCCCTTGAAATTGCTTGCAAAGTGGGGTACTTAAGGCCATTAACTTTCCACCACATCAATATATCAAAGTCCTTAGATCGTTTGGTAATAAGATCCTCACGAAGATAGTGATCGAGCTCAGTATGAATCAGAGTAGTTTTGCTCTTTTTCCTCTGACTCACAAAGAGCTCGAAATCAAGATCATCACTTATAGAACTAGAAGAACCACCAGAAGCACATGAAGAACCAGAATTCTTCTTCTCAGCCTTGGTTTGGTAGTCAAGAACCAAACCATAAATACATTCCCTTATCTTATCAGCCACCAATGCAGTATTAGTGCTGCCAAACTTGCCAGCATAATACTCAACTACATGCATCTTGTATCTAGGATCAAGAACCACTGAAACTGCCAGAACCACATGTACCTCATTCCAGTACTTGGCAAATTTCTCCCACATGCTTTTAGCCATACTAGAGACAAGAGTATTGGAATCAGCACACCAATCCAGCAATTTCAATCTTAAATCACAGATCTTGGGGAAAAACAGATTGGCAGTGGGATACTTGCTACCAGAAAATAGCTGAGTAATCTCACTGAAGATTTCAAGCTTCTCAATGATAATGGCAGCAAACTGCCAATGCATACTAGTAGGGACAATATTGTATTGACTATCCCTCTGTCTCAATCGAGAGAACACATCCCTGTATATAATAGCAACAGACAGCATATCATAGGTGGAATTCCACCTTGTAGGACAATCAAGCACAAGTTTCTTTGTACAAGTCACCTTAATCTGTTTAGCAGTTTCAAAGAAGGTCTGAACCCTCTTAGGTGTAGAGTTCCAGTACACAACACTCTCCCTAACCAAATCAATGCCATCCCTGATGACATCCAAACCATCTTGCACAATAAGATTAAGTACATGAGCAGAACATCAGTGTGAACCAGCATACCATCCAACAACAAATCATCCATAACAAGTTTGGTTTTCAGATGGGTTATCATAGCATCGTTGGTAGTACAGTTATCCAAGGTAATAGATGACAACTTGCTGTCAATATTCCAATCAATAAGACACTTGAACAACTTGTTTCCCAGCCTCTCACTAGTGTGAGGAGCAGGGACATAAACAAAACGTAACATCAAGTTTCTTAGCTTCCAAGAATTGTCAATAAAATGACAAGTTACTGCCATATAACCCCTCTTTTGGTTGGGTGCAGTCCACATATCAGTGGTCACTGCAACTCTCCCAATATTACCATCAAGAACCTTCTTCAACTTTGCCATTTCAACCCCATATAATCCCATTATGTCATTTTTCACTGTACCCCTACAAGGCACAGTGAACTGTGGTTGCAAAGAACAACAAAAACGTCTGAACCCCAAGTGTTCAACAATACTTAGAGGATATTCATGGACCATAATCATTGAGCACAATTCCTTCCTAGACACATCAGAACTGAATTGAGAAGCAGGTAGCAGTGGTTTTCCAGTTGGTTTATAATCAGGACCTAGAACTCTCTGTCTACCATCATGTATCTTTCTTTGTGTACAAGTTTTGTAATGGTGCCTCAGATGGGAGGTTCCATTACTAGTATCATCACCAAGTCGTTTTGTACAGTAACGACACTTAGCCTTAACAACACCATTAAACTTCACTCTAACAAAATGAGGCCAGACATCAGAAGTCAACTTCTTATCTTCCTCAAGAATGACTTCACCAGTTTCAATCCCATCAGCCAAATTAACAGTACCATTACCATTAACAGTACCATTACCATTACCATTACCGTTAACATTACCATTAACATCATGATTTAGAGAATTAGGCACAGGAGGATCATTCACATTCAAAGCATCATTTGCAATTGCACCATCCATCTACATATATGAAAAATACAATCAATCAATCTTCAAGACTCAGACAGAGCACACAAGCAAGAAATCGACACATGCAAACTACACATACAAATCATAAAACAGGGTGAATTTAGAGTCAGGCTATGCCTAACCTGTAATCTAGAGAGGTAGGATTTGTCGACCAAACTGCAGATGGGGAGTTTATGCCTGATGCCCTGATGCGAACCTAATGAACTCGAACAAGGCAAAAATAAAAACAACTTTGTGTTAGCATTCATTGAATGATAAAGACCAAGTTAATAAATTAGGAAAATTGAAGTTTTAAAAGTGATTACCTCGACTGTGCTCTGAGCAGAGTGAAGGTAATGATGAACGGAAGAACTTAGAACTGAGGTTGCGAGTGACCCTGAAATCAATCGACAGGGTTACTATATATATGAAAGCAGAAGAAGATGGAATAGATAGGAAAACGAAAGGAAAAGGGAGAAGAAACTTATCTGTCATCCGTGATGATATCACGCCGATTTCTCCCAATAATTGCAAATCAAAGATTGCAACAGGCATTTTAGGGGTTTGCATGTTGTTTTCCGGCCAAATCGGCGGCAAAACAAGCCTCCGATTGGCCAAATTGGAGGATTAATGATTGCCTACTAGCGATAAACCAGTGGATGGAGAGGATTTTGTGGGGAATCGGCGAAATTTTGGAGCTAAATCAATGCTCGCGTGCTTGGGTGGAGAGAAAATAGAGAGGAAGATGAAAGGAAACGGCGGCAGTCGACAGGCAGAAAGAAGAGGAAATGAGGGATTAGGGTTTCTGAGTCTTTCTTCGGCCTTTATACCCAGGTGCCAAAACGGCGTCGTTTTGTGGACGGACGGGAACGGGGCGGATACTTCTCGATCCATCCCCATTGGTAACCCGCTTCTGACGGGTTTCGGGTATGCCCGAATCCGGCAATTCCCCACTGCGGCCAGTTATTGAGACCCCCGTTGAGTCGGGTTTCAGGCGGGTACCCGGCGGGGCGGCCAGGGTTCCCATCCCTATTCCGAAGGGTGTTGTCCCGGCTTCTTCTCCGAGCAAGAAGGGTGAATTCGCGACGTTGGATATTGTGGAGCATTTCTAGAGGCACCCTCACGAGTCGACCCCCGGGAATGAATTCGTGCCATGCCATCGCCGCTGCATAGTTTCGACGAGTGAAGATGAGGAAGAGGAATATTGTAAATCAACAGCGGCTTCTGCAATTTCTTTCTCCGCTGATAACTCATTTTTGTAAGTTTTTTATTTTTTATTAAAAATAATTAATATGATAAATCATATAGACAAAGTAAGTGTAATGATGAGGAGGAAAAATATTTTTTTTTTAAATTTCCACGTCATCTAGTTAACAGTCAAACTTTATAGTTGACTGCTACGTAAGACAAATTTAACGGAGTGTAACGGCCGGTGACTAGCAGTGAAACGATTCGTAAAGTTAATGGCGAATAAGAAAGAAAAGTAATTTGGGTGGGAAACGTGAAAAATTTGTATAATTTGTATGATTAAACGTGTAATTTAGCCTTTAAAATACTATAAGAAGGTATCAAAAGCATAAAAACACAAATAAAGGCTACTAAACACACATTTGAGAAAATACTAAGCAATTCCAAGTCTTAATGGATAAACATATGCATAAATGATACCCTAGTCTTGATCACATTGTTGCGGCATGGCTAGTTTTGCGTTACTTACTTGTCATCGAGCATACTATGAATTTTTTTTAATTCGCGAGTCTCTGTAGCTTTTTTGTTATAGTTATGTCGATTAGGTATATAGGTCGCCGGGCCACATGGCAATTAACCTAGTTGTTACATACAATTGGCGTTGTTCAGATCTTAATATAGACTTTATACAAACGTGACATATTTCGGACACAGTCACTAATGAAGAATCGATCAGTTCCAAGAAGTCACCAGCATCAGCTTGGAATTGAATAACACACACTGCAGAGAAGCTGCTGCTTAAGCTGAAGAACAGAGCACAAGGAAGAAGGAACGTCGTCGTTCTGGTCTCGTTCAAAGGCAAGAAGAAGCTTTGCACCAAAAGATCAGAACGGCAGCGTTCCACTTGGGCGTTGTAATTAGTTAGTCATTTACACGTGGTACAGTTTCTATAGGCTAGATTAGAAAGTTAGTTTTCCATTTTTACTGTTTCATTTAGCCGTTAGATTACTTTCCCTTTCCTCTGTAAATACTTGAGTTGTACATATATAAAAGGCAATCAGAAAACGAAGGTCCTCAATCATTGAGAACCCTTCACCAAAAACCCTATTTTTACATTTCTTCTCATGGTATCAAAGCCTGGTTCAGGCAAAAACCAGGTCTCGCTTCCCTTTCAAAACCCTAGCCGTTTTGTGGTGATTTCACTTCGCCATGTCAGGCCAAGGAGCAAGAATCGATGGTCATCTCACCGATGATGCTGATACTCAAGCTTTGGAGGATGAGATCCATCACCAAGCTGCTTCGCAGAGCTCCCCCACTGGACGTCGCATTGAGCCACTCGCAGCTCAACCTTTTGGAGCACAACACTTTGCGACTCAGCCCAACACACCTTGCTTTCCCCAGTATGAAGATCCATACCTGAACCCTTATTATTTGCCTTCTCATGATGGAGGACTGACCACCATCATCTCCATGAAGTTAACAGATCAGAACTATAATATGTGGAGTCAAGTTATGGAGGTAGCTCTCAGTACTCGAAACAAATTTCAATTTGTGAATAGAATGATACATGTTCCTGCTGTTGGGGATCCATTATATCAGTCATGGCTTAGATGTGATGGAACTGTTCGTAGTTGGATTTATAATTCATTGTCTGAGGACATTGCTAATAGCGTTGTTGCTTTCAAAGTTGCAAAGGATGTATGGGATAGCCTGAAAGATAGGTTTAGTCAAGAGGACAACATAAGGGTTTATGAATTGAAAGAGCAGAATGCAAAGTGTGTTCAAGGATATCTGAGTGTCACTCAGTATTATACTGCCTTAACTACAAAATGGCAGGAGTATAAGATGTATAAGACTTTATTATCCAGAAATATGAGGATCAGGACTTTATTATCAAGTTTATGCAAGGATTAAATGATGTTTACCGGTCTGCTAGAACTCAAGTGTTGATGAATGCACATTTGCCAAGTATTGAGTCAGTTTTCAAGCAAATGGTGCAACTTGAAAGACAAATGATAGGACTGAATTCAGCAAAAGAAAGAGTGGATTCTTTGGCTTTACTGGCTAGTGGTCATCCACAGCAGTCAAAAACTGGACAATCTAGTAAGAATCCTAGAGACTACACCACCGAAGGAAAGAAGTGGTGCAGGTACTGCAAAAAGGAAGGTCACATAATTGTGGATTGCTACAGGCTTAAGAACAAGAGGAGGCAAGAAGGAGAGCAACCATTTGTTGGTTCAGTTGACACTACCCTCTCTGAGACTGGGGGTTCTTCCTATGCACATAACTCTGGTGCAAGGAATGACATGAACATTCAAAGTCTTCTGACTCCAGATCAGTTTGAAAAACTGAAGCTCATGCTAACCAATTCACCTTCACCGTCTCCTTCACCTCCAACCTCACCTCACCTGCCAGCTGCTGCTTCAGGAAGTGTTCCTACAACAACTTCACACACACATCAAGCTTCTGCCAATGCTGCTGTGAGAGTTCCTCCTCACTTCACAACAAGTTCCAGTTCAGCAGGTAAACAACCCTATTCTGGTTTGATTGATTCTCTGCACAAGTCTGAATGGGTGCTTGATACTTGAGCTACATACCATATTATCTGTAGCCTTGGTTTCTTCATTAGAAGTAAACCAGTTGAGAATGTGTGTGTGAATCTTTCAAATAGACAACAGGTTCAAGCTACTCACATAGGGATTGTTTGTCTGCCTTGTGGATTATTCTTCACTCAAGTTCTTTTTGTTCCAGCCTTTACTTACAATTTGGTTTATGTAAGTAAATTAACCCAAAATCATCCAGTCTCATTGGTTTTTAAATCAAATTTCTGTGTCATTCAAGACCTTATTACTCGGAGGAGGATTGGTTTAGCCCAAGTGGATAAAGGATTATACCTGTTTTGCCATTCCAAAAGTCAGCAGTTTGAGTCCAGTAGAGTTCACCAGCCATTTGCAGCAGGAGTTTCCCATGTCCAAACCTCGGAATCCAACATCTGGCATGCTAGATTAGGCCATCCTTCCCTAGCTAGAATGAGAGATGTTCAAAATCAGTGTACTGAGGTTGTTTTACCATTGACAAAACATTGTGAAGTTTGTCATTTGTCCAAACAGAAAAGATTACCATTTCCTTTAAGTTCTTCTGTAAGTTCTGAATGCTTTGACCTTTTACATGTGGACATCTGGGGTCCATTAAACAAAGCTTCTCGAAGTGGTTTTCTTTATTTTTTAACTGTGGTTGATGATCATAGTAGAGCTGTTTGGACTTTCCTAATGAAATCTAAATCAGAAACCAGAACCATCTTGCAATCCTTTCTGCAGAATGGTTAAAACACAGTTCTCTAAATCTGTTAAGACCATTCGATCTGATCAAGGTCAAGAGTTCCATATGACAGATTTCTATAGTCAAAATGGAATTTCCCATGAAATGAGCTGTGTTTATACTGCCCAGCAAAATGGCAGGGTTGAAAGAAAACACCAGCACCTCTTAAATGTTGCCATATCTTTGAAATTTCAGTCTGGTCTTCCACTTTACTATTGGGAGGATTTCATTCTTCATGCTGCCTACCTAATTAACAGAACTCCTACTCCCATTCTTAACCATAAAACTCCCTTTGAAATTCTCCACATAGTTCCACCAGACTATATGAGTTTGAGAGTGTTTGGATGTTTAGCTTATGCTACTACAGTAGAGGGACATAAGTAAAAATTTGATCCAAGGGCACGTAAGTGTGTGTTCTTAGGCTTTCCTACAGGAATTAAGGGGTTCAAACTATTAGACACAAACACCAGAAATGTGTTTATCAGTAGAGATGTAGTGTTTTATGAAAATGACTTTCCATTCAAAACCAATGAGCACTTAGATAATAGTTCATCTGAAGGTGAGAAACTCAATCTCCCTTCCTATTCAGAGTCTTTTTCTCCTCAGGATGACCCTTGTTCTGGTCAACCTTCCCTTGTTGTTAACCCTGCAGTAGAGCATTCTTTCTCACCTACTGCTACACCCAATTTCTCCCCTCCTGCTGCACCACTTTCTGATTCTGAGTCTGATGATCAACCTGATCCAGTCTCTTCCTCTAATCCTTCTCCTTCACCTATTTCCCCATCTCCAGTTCCTCCTTCTCCTCCCCCACCAGTAGAGCATGTTAGAAAGTCTACAAGGCAGATAGTTTTTCCTTCTAAATATAATGATTACTATGTGAGTATGGCTCAAGTCTGTTGCTCTCCTTTGCTGTCACCTGAACAGCAGCATTTTGCTTTTTCTCTCATGGCTGTTGTTGAGCCTGCTTCCTATGCTGAAGCACTACTTGATCCACGTTGGCAAGCTGCCATGAGAGAAGAGATTCAAGCTTTATATGATAATCAAACTTGGGAGATCACAGACTTGCCTGGGGGATTGAAAGCCATTGGCTGTAAATGGGTGTTTCGTGTCAAATATCACCCTGATGGAAGTGTTGAAAGATTTAAAGCCAGATTAGTGGCCAAGGGATATAATCAAGTCTATGGGATTGATTATTGTGACACATTCTCTCCAGTTGCAAAGTTGACATCTATTAAAATGTTTTTAGCAATTGCATCTATCCAGAACTGGCATTTGCATCAAATGGATGTCAATAATGCATTTTTAAATGGTGATGAAGTAGTGTATATGGAATTGCCACCTGGGTTGAAGGAGAAACCAGAATTAAGAGGCAAAGTTTGCAGGTTAAAGAAATCTCTCTATGGGTTGAAACAGGCTAGCAGAATGTGGTATGCTAAGCTGACTGAAACCCTATTAGCTCATGGTTTTAAGCAATCCATTGTTGATTGCTCTATATTCCTTTCCACTGTGGAAAGCTCACTGGTTTTTTTAATAGTCTATGTTGATGACATGGTTATTGGGAGCATCAGTTTAAAGGCAGTTGAAGCAGTGAAGAGGATGTTGAAATCAGTTTTCAAAATGAAGGATTTAGGTGATCTAAAGTACTTTCTTGGCTTGGAGATTAACAAGGTTAATGGTGGGATACATGTTAGCCAGAGAAAGTACTGTATTGAACTTCTAAGAGAAGCAGGATTTGAAGAATGCAAACCTGCAAAGACCCCTTCTAGTGTTAAACAGGTTCTCTCTGCCCAAGATGGTGAACCAATCCATGACATTAGCAAGTTCAAGCATTTGCTTGGTCAATTACAATATCTGAACACAACCAGACCAGACATAACATATGCAGTACAACAACTCTGTCAGTATCAAGACTCTCCCACAACTATTCATTTCAAGGCTTTACAAAGAGTCTTCAGGTACCTCAAAAATGCTCCTGGGCAAGGATTGTTTTATTCTAGTGACTCCAACATACAGATTACAGGTTACAGTGACTCTGATTGGGCAACATGTCCAGACAGTAGAAGATCTATTACAGGTTTTTGTACATTCCTGGGAACTGGATTGATAAGTTGGAGAAGCAAGAAGCAAGGCACTGTATCTAGATCATCCTCAGAGGCAGAATACAGAGCCATGTCACAACTCAGATGTGAAATGCAGTGGCTTATTCGTTTACTTGATGATTTTGGTATTGATCATTCACAACCAGCAGTCATATTCTGTGATAATCAGTCGGCAATTCACATTGCCAGAAATCCAGTGTTTCACGAGAGGACTAAACACATAGAGGTAGACTGCCATGTTATTCGAGAAAGGGTAGTAAATGGTTTGATCAGTTTGCATCATTTGTCTACTACTCATCAGATTGCAGATCTATTTACTAAGAGTCTAGGAATTGATCGATTCAAGATGTTATTGAGCAAGCTGGGAGTATCAGAAGATACTCGCCAGCTTTAGGGGGCGTAATGAAGAATCGATCAGTTCCAAGAAGTCACCAGCAGCTTGGAATTGAAGAACACACACTGCAGAGAAGCTGCTGCTTAAGCTGAAGAACATAGCACAAGGAAGAAGGAACGTCGTCGTTCTGGTCTCGTTCAAAGGCAAGAAGAAGCTTTGCACCAAAAGATCAGAACGGCAGCGTTCCACTTGGGCGTTGTAATTAGTTAGTCATTTACACGTGTATAATTTCTATAGGCTAGATTAGAAAGTTAGTTTTCCATTTTTACTGTTTCATTTAGCCGTTAGATTACTTTCCCTTTCCTCTGTAAATACTTGAGTTGTACATGTATAAAAGGCAATCAGAAAACGAAGGTCCTCAATCATTGAGAACCCTTCACCAAAAACCCTATTTCTACATTTCTTCTCAGTCACGTTCACGTACCCCAATCAAATGAAACAGGGAGACTGCTGCAAAGGAAACAAAGAACAACAGCGTAAAACGAAGCAAGAAAGCGACGGGCAACCGACCAATCCCGTGAGCGTCGAACCAACCCAAATTGAGACTAAAAAGAGTTGGGTTAAAGACACATTTGGTCACTGAGATTACAAAATCGGGACATGTTTAGTCACTAGAAAAAATTAATATCAAATTTGGTCACTACAATTACTAAAACTGGACACATTTAGTCACTCGCCGTTAGTCTCCGTCCAACTCCGTTAATGAAGTCCGTTAAGTGATGATGTGGCAAACAGAATTGCCTAATCAGCCGGATATAACCCAACAAAAATAAAACCCGACCCGCCACGTCATTATAACCCGCCACGTCATTTAACCAACCCAATCCAACCCAACCCAACCCATGACCCAACCCCACCCAACCCTTCTTCCTCCTTCCTCTCACCTCCTTCTTTCCCCAAATTCGAATTCAATCCAGACATCAAAACGAATTCAATCCACACATAAGGGAAATCGAATCGACAGAGAATAAAGTAAAAAAAAAAAACCTAGTTGCCGTCGTCGAAGGGGACGGGCCTGGAGAGGAGAGCGTAGATGTCCTTCTTCTTCGACAAGTCCCTGTGGCGGTCGGGAGGTAGCAAATCGAGCAGATCCAGGTAGTTCCTCGGTAGCTTCTTCTCCCAAACGGAGTCCGACGACGCCGCGCCGCGGAACGCGTGGTTGAGGCGCGCGAGGTTGGAAATCTCCGGCGGCGTCAAGTAGGTGAAGACGCAGGCCACGCAGCTCTCCAGAATGTCGCCAAGCCCTGGCCCTATGGCGGCGCCGTTCGCACCTTCCGTCAGGTTTGATAGCGACGCACCCATACCCACCCTCCCCTCCCTCTCCCGCCGGAAAATGACGTCAGGCGGAACAATCAGTTCAACTAATTCTGCGTTTCTACCTTCTTCTTATTGTTGCTCGTGCTTGCTTGTGTGGGTTCTCAGGCCATTGGCGAATGGGAGTGTTGGGTTGGTGAGAAAAGTGCAGGTGGTTCATGAGGAAAATGTTTATACTCGAGCTCTTCAGCTTAAAGAGGATGAAGGCGTTTCGTATTGTTCGGGAGGAAGAAGTTGGCCTGCTGATCGACTCCATCTCTGAAATATCAGCATCTGCCTCCACAGTTGATCTCACCGAGAAGTGTTACTCTCTCAAAGGCAGGTTTCATGAACTGGTTCATGAAGCTGAGGTTGTTTCGGGAACCATTTCAGGGGAGGAGTGTTTCCCTCGACCATTTAGTTGGATTGTTGGCAAATTCAATGGTCATCAAGCAAGGATTGAAAGAGTTTTCCATGAGCTCGACACTTTCTACGAGCGTATCATCGATGAACACCTAAGCCTGGAAGGGAAGGAGCTGAAGAAGACATGATCAATGTGCTGCTGGCAATCGAGAAGGAACAATATCAATTACTCGGTGAGAGGAAGGAGGAAGAAGGGTTGGGTGGGGTTGGGTCATGGGTTGGGTTGGTTTAAATGACGTGGCGGGTTATAATGACGTGGCCGGTCGGGTTTTATTTTTGTTGGGTTATATCCGACTGATTAGGCAATTCTGTTTGCCACATCATCACTTAACGGACTTCATTAACGGAGTTGGACGGAGACTAACGGCGAGTGACTAAATGTGTCCAGTTTTAGTAATTGTAGTGACCAAATTTGATATTAATTTTTTCTAGTGACTAAACATGTCCCGATTTTGTAATCTCGGTGACCAAATGTGTCTTTAACCCAAAAAGAGTTTTATATATTCCACTTTTCCCCCCCTCCATTCCTTCCTAATATGACTCTATGCTCCTTCACACGTCCCATCTCCCCTCTGTCTCTCTCTCTCTCTCTTTCTCCTTCTTCCCTTGCCACTCCAGTCGTCGCCGATGAAATGATTTCGCCTCCTTACCTCAGTCCCTCAGTTAATGCCACACTCCCTCTCCGTCAACTCTTCCCTCCGCTTCCTCATCGCCTCAGCTTTCCGGAGCTTGTTTAAGCCGCCGTTAGCTACTTCTCCGGCCGCTGGTCACTATTGCCGGCGATAGCTGAAACAGGAAAAGAATAAAAAAGAGAGCAAGACAGAGAGAATAGGACTATAGGAGAGAGATTAAAAGAAAGTAGCCTCTAACTTCTCTTCAGCTCTCAGTTTATTTCTCTTGTTTCTTTCGGCTGCTTTCTCGATTCTACCTCTCTGCCGTCGTTTGGTATCTAGTCTGTGAAGTTTACAAGAAGTTTCCACCTGTGATCGATCTGCAGCCCTCCGATTGCTCCATTCTCTACCACGAATCGGCGATCGATTATGTAAGCTAATTTGAGCTGAATTAGCTTCGAAATTGAGCTGAGTAGGGACAAGAAGTGCGTCCCTGAAGCTGATTGTGAGCATGTTGGATCTTAATCTGAATGTGGAATTGGCCGAGTCGACTCACTACTCCGACTCGGCTTCTTTCATGGAGGAGGACAAGTATCAGTGCCATCGCCAGCTTCCGGAGGCATCGGAGACGTCTAACTCATCGGTAGTCAACACCGATGCGTCGAGCAACGATGACTTGTGCTCCACACGCGCCTACACCGGCGACGCTGCTAACAACAACAGCAACAAACTCATGAATGGCACCACCACCATCGTCTGCCCCTTCAACTTCGATATTCTGGAAGTTGGTGGCGGTGGCGGAAATGAGAATGACGAAGACGGCATCGTTGTCACCAAGGACTTCTTCCCCGTTGAGCAAAACTCTGCGGGACAGTACGGGTCCCCGGCACGGGCGAATTGGATTGATCTGACGTTCGAGAGGCAGCAGGAGATCGCCAGTGGCGGACCGGTGCGGGTGATTCAGCAAGCCGCACAGCAGCAGGTGAAGAAGAGAAGGAGGGGTCCCAGGTCTCGGAGCTCGCAGTACAGGGGAGTTACCTTCTACAGGCGGACTGGCAGATGGGAATCTCACATCTGGTACTCCTCCTGTATTCATCGTTGTTTCAACTTCTTTGGAGTCTCCGTGGTGTTCTTATCGAATTCCTATTGGCTTTTGATTGGCTGATGCAGTGAATTTTGAATTGGCTAGCTTAGTTCGGGGTCAAGTTTTGGTTGAATCCGAATTGAATTTGTGTGGCCGTGTCTCGTTGAAACTACCGAGTTGCCACCTAAACCTAAATTTTCTTGGGTGCAAATAGGATGTAATGCGAAATAAGAGAATGTCTGTTTGGTTAATGAGTTTTTTTTCTTCCATTTTCCTTCACTCATTTCAGGGACTGCGGGAAACAGGTGTATCTGGGTAGGGATGCTACCTGCTCCGTTGGTTTCCCTGTGATTTAAGTTTTCATTGAATTGAAGAAGAAACATTTTCACTTCTGTTTGCTGTCGATGGTATGTAGTTTAATGGTGTCTAGTTTCGAATTTACAGGTGGATTTGACACGGCTCATGCTGCTGCAAGGTACCAATTCTAGTTATGCAGAACATCTCAGATTTGAATTTTTTTATTTTTATTAATCTCTGGTTCAATCTCGAACTATGCTTCTATGCTTTTGTAAGACATTCCTGTCTATTATCTTTGGTGTTCAGGGTCTATGATCGAGCTGCAATTAAGTTCAGGGGAGTTGATGCTGATATCAACTTCAGCCTTGGTGATTATGAGGAAGACATGAATCAGGTTTGCGAGATATGGGTAGTTGTAGAAATTGATTATCTGAGTTCTCTGTAGGCTTAGAAGATTGTGTCTTATGCTGCTTTGTGTATCAGATGAAGAATCTGACCAAGGAAGAATCTGTGCACATACTGCGTCGACAAAGCACAGGTTACTCTCGTGGGAGTTCGAAATTTCGAGGAGTGACATTGCACAAATGTGGCCGGTGGGAAGCTAGAATGGGACAGTTCCTCGGCAAAAAGTGAGAATTCGTTATCCGTAAATTCACTCCATGGTTTTGTATGTTTGGAAATGCTAGATTCTGCTTATCAAGTGAGTGCTTCAATTTGATGAAAAGAATTTTAGAAGCGTAGTTGGACAAACAAATTACTGCTTTAGTTTCTGCTTTGTTTGGGGAAATTTTCTAAAGATGTATCTTTTCAAAGATGAAATAATTGCGCTATGGTGTTTTCACCTGGGAGATTACAATGCTTGCGTGCAGGTATATATATCTTGGGCTGTTCGACAGCGAGGTAGAAGCTGCAAGGTCCTAATGAACATTGATTTACACCCTACTACTGATAGTTTATTACCATAAATTCTCTAGACCTCAATACGGTCCCATCCAATGTGTGTCTCCATTTTGGTTTTCTGGAAATCAGGGCTTATGACAAGGCAGCCATCAAGTGTAATGGAAGGGAGGCTGTGACCAACTTCGAGCCTTGTACATATGAAGGGGAGATGCCTTCTTCTGAGGCTAGTTCTGAAGGTTAGCTACTGTGCACGAATGGAGTGTATTTGGGTCTGGTGTACTTCTGGTAGTTCTGGATAAACTAGTTTCTCTATATGGTTTCAATGCAGGAACTGGCCACAACCTTGACCTTGACTTGGGAATATCCCCTCCTTTTGCCTGTGCTTCCAAGGAAAATGCGGGCCACCTGCCATTCCACTCAGGACCTCGAGATACTCGTGACAAGAGTTCAAAGGTAAAGCATAACACTGCAATCCCCAAAATTTTGGATTCTATTCCAGGCTAAGGATTCTGCTGCAGTGAACCTATTGAGATTTATGGTTTTTGCATTCACTAGTCTGGTTGTTTAGATCTAGGAACACCGATTTATTAGCTATGAAGTTTTGGCAATGCAACTTAATAGTGTGGTACAACTTTGTCGATATGTAGGTAGAGAACCCAATGGGTAAAATGGTTGGTGATCCACTTTTCAAAGGGTTTGTGAGGACATCATCAGATCCCTCAGTACCCTTGAACGGTGCATATGCCACTTTCTTCCCTGCCGAGGTATGTTCATATTGGTGTGGTCTTATCAAGATCCGGTCCTATCCTCTTCTATACTATATTGTTCAATGCACTTTGTCTAGTTGTACAACCTAGGTTTCACGGATTCTTCATTAAAACTACCATGATATGTAAACTTGCTGATCCTACTTTTTTTCTGGCGTCATCTTTCCTATCCAGGCTGAATTTAGTTTTCCTTCTCATACCTGTACTCCTCCATTTAATTGAAATTTGACTTGGGTGTGAAATAAACAGTGTAAAAGCGAGCCTTAATTCGTTTCCCTTCGTCATGTGATGTTCTTAAAGTTTAGTAGCTTTCTGGGTTCATTTATTTAGGTTCTTTCTTTTTCAACCAATCCAATGAATTCCCCAGACGAAACAAGCTACTACTCTCATTCTCCATACAGTTCTTATATGTGTTACAATTCAATTGAAATTTGACTTGGGTGTGAAATAAACAGTGTAAAAGCAAGCCTTAATTTGTTTCCCTTCGTCATGTGATGTTCTTAAAGTTTAGTAGCTTTCTGGGTTCCATTTATTTAGGTTCTTTTTTTTTTCAACCAATCCAATGAATTCTCCAGACGAAACATGCTACTACTCTCATTCTCCATACAGTTAGCAGTCCATTAGCAGAAAACAAATATGTTTCTGCAAATGGAATTGTGGAAAATGAGGTGGCATAATGTGCAACATAGTCTTCGTGATATATTTAGCGCACTTAAGTAGTCACTGAAATTGATTACTGCTGTATTTTTTTTCCCCAGGAAAAAGCCACCACAGAGAAGACGATAGAACTTCAATATCAACAAGCTTCTTCTCATGGGCTCCCCCACAGCTGGGCGTGGCAAATGCATAGGCAACAGGTCGCAGCTACTACCCCAATGGCATTGTTCTCTACGGCCACTGCAGCATCATCAGGATTCTCAACTTCAGCTACCCTTCTTCGTCATCCCTCGAAACCTTTCAACCACAACACAGCGGCAGCAGCAGCAGCAGCCCACGGCTTTGATTTCGAACCATCTCCAGTGGTCATGGCTGCCAACGGCTCTACGTTCTTCTACTCGATGAAGCCTCCCCAGGCTCCCTCCCTATAAAACCAAACCACAACAGGCTCTTATTCTTCTTCACTGTGAAGCACCAGTAAGCAAAGAAGAAAAAGGCACATGTTCTCCGAGTTGATGCACTTTCCAGACTATGCATTTTATACTGACATTCTTCTAGTTGAATTACTGCAACTCTTCCAATGCTTGGAGCCCAGCCTCTTATTTGGCTGACCAGGTCCCCTCAGAAGTCAGAATTATGGTATAGCTGTTGGAGTTGATAGTTGATATTTGAATGTAAACTGAGCATACATAATTGTAGGTTGTAGCCATACATCAATTCGCTGACTCACTCTAAATCTTATTTTGAAGTAATCGGTGTGGGGCTGGTCTCTTCCTGTTGAAATGAGAACTTTTGTAACACCATAGGCGAATTCCACATCTACAAAGTACGGGAGAGATCTATGATTCATAACTAGAGAACCGGCCCTAACTGACAAGATGCGTTTAGAGGTGAAATGGAGGAGTTCTTGTGAGAACTCCGAAGTTAAACGTGCTCAGTGTGGAGTACAACAAGGATGGGTGACCTTATGGGAAGTCACCCTGAATTGTATCACAAGTCGAAATCCGTGCGGGTGTAGAGGCCCAAAGCGGACAATATCTTGTCGAGAAAAGGTTCGGGATGTAACAACTTTAAAAAGAAATTAAGATATGACAATAGAATACAAGAAAAAAAATAAGACTACCTTATATGCCATTTCCCACTCAAGTAACATAATCAAATGAAAGCACCTTTAAACTAAACAGAAAGCACCACACTATGAGTCTATGAGTAGCTCGATTGACATTTCTATAAACCGCACAAAATTTAGCATATGTCTAGAGAAGTTATTATCTGACGACACTCTCTGAGCATCGGGCCTCCAATAGCATATGACTCTATCCCTCTGAGAAGCTGGCGAATGACGACTTCAAAGTATCCTTCCAGTATAACTTCGTGTAGACTAAAGCGACGAATTAAGTTTAAACCATCTCGAGGGGCTAGAAGTTCGGCTAGGTATAGGTTGATGATCCCAGGGTGTGAACTCATTTACGCTTCGTTTGTCCATTTGTCGTTTGTCAAAAGTAGTCACTATTATTGATGGCGCATTCCAATATGAATAGTTTTGAAGCTATGTATTGAGAAAATACTACCTTGGTGGGAGAAAACTTGTACCTATACAGCTCAAGGACCTACAAGTTTGGATAAATATCTAATGTGTTCACCTACCGGAGAAATTATTTTAGGGGTGAAACTACGCGTTTTTTGGGATCTGCGTGCTCCATCGATTCTCCCGAACGACCACAATTAGCACGAGCAAACATTTTAATGATGAAGAACACATTAAAATATACCAATTTGATACTGTCTTAAGACACACTTGGAGAGCACCGTACAACGGAGAGTTGTATGCTGTCTTCGGGATGACAAAAGTATCAAAGATTTAGATTCTTTATTTATATTCAACAATGTACTAATAGTTCCTTTATGTTAGATCAAATGAACACTAGAATGAGGTATTTTACAATGCTATATAGCATTGGTGTTATAGGTTTTTGCCTTTATGATACAACTTGAAGTTGTACCTTTAAATTATGGTGCAACTTTAGATTGTACCTATACTCTTTTGCACAAATACTTTTATTGTACTACTGGAACTTATACATTTATGTGATGATACAACTTTAAGTAAAGTTGTACCATAACATAAGTGTACAAATTCCTTTATAGTACAACATGAACTTATACATTTAACGTTATGGTACAACTTTAAGTTGTATATTAAAGCACCAATGCTTTATAGCATAGTAGAAGTGTTCCACTAGAATAAGTTTGATTCATTCAACTCCTAAGACTTTGGAACAATTAGAAAAATGAAACCATTCGTTTTGAACAACAAAGAGCTAGCAGCTTTTACTATAACATCCGTTCTATATATTGGTCTGAGCTAGATCCGAATTATTTGAAATTAATTGAATGAACAATTCAAACAAATTCTGAAGTATTCGATCTATTTTGACTTCTTTACCAACACAAACAACACAATGCCAATTTTGTAGAGGAAAATGTGCTCAGACCTTGAATACCCTCTGGTTGTAGGTGCCTGAACAACCCTCACTTCAGGTGTTGAACTGGATGAAATTGACTTATATCTTAAGTTAGTTAAGAGGAATCGTGAACTGAAAAATAGATTCTAGAAGCTAAAAAAAATGATATCTTGAGCAATTTCGCATGCTTTTTGGAATTGCCCACTTTCTGAGAGAGGGAGGACATGATGGACCTCCACACATGGTAGGTCAAGCAAGCAAGTTGAAGTGGTAAGTTTGAGACTAATATTTTTCGGAGAAATTATGAAGTTAACTATTTTATCGGACATGTTTTAATTAAAGAGATATGTATCTTCCTAATAAAACGTTACTTATTTCCTATGAAAGAGAAATATGTTTTGGAGAAGTTCTGAAGTTAATTATCTCACTAGATGTGTTTTAATTAAGGAGATATGTATCTTCCTATTAGAACGTTACTTATTTCCTATGAAACAAGAATATTCTGGGGTCTCGACTCCTATAAATAGTCGCCCCTCATATCCTCTAAACACACAATTCAAAGAGGGGAAACACGAGAGAATGAGATTCAGAGAGCTTCTGTTTTTGCGCAAAACCTCTTCCTATTGGGTGCGTGTTGTGGAGTATAGTAATTTTGATTACATTGGTACATATATTTTGAACTATATGTGGGAATAGAGTGTGTGACTTGCCCGTAGTGATGAGATTAGAAGAAGTATTGTTTGTCAGTACTAAGTGAACCACACAAGCTGCTCTGAAACCTTAAAGGTTAAAAAATTAGAGTAGCATGTTGAACCATATCCACGCCAATCAAAATGGTACTTTTCATGGTAATCAAATGATCGTCGGCCAATCCTCTAATAATGACACTATATTTTACCAATACAGTAGTGGAAAATGAGGCCATATGGCACAAAAGTGTAAGAACAAGTTCAGCATTGGTTCCAGTGTTAGCTTCTTTAAAGAAGAGGTGAGTGGCTATGATCACTAAGATAAAGAACAAAGGTTAACTCTGAACAATGATGGTTGGATACTAGTGCCTCGAAGCACCTGTGCTATGGGTGTAAACCTTAAAGATAATATGATAAATTATTTTTTGTATGTGGCTTGTTATGGTAAATATGTTATTAGAGAATTATAACCTTAATTCTGATTCATTTTTATATGGGTAAACCTGTTGGTACTTATGTCTACCGAACCATGGATCACAAGTGATGGTAACCCAACCCAATAGACTGAAGATCACAAAAATTCGGTTCAATCGGTATAGCAAGTCATGAGTAATATGAGAAAGATCATATTACTCATAACTTCCATGTGGAGCATGGAATGAAATACATTTCTTGAGAAATTCATATTGAAGCAAGAATACCTAAAGCTTATAGAGGTTGTGTTAATAGTGTAATACCCCACCCTGTACGTATTAACTAATCAATTTGTGCAACATTAGCAGTAATAATCATGGGTGTTACATTAATTCAGAAAACACTCCAATTAAATTTTGGCATGAATGATTCGCATAATGTGCTAACAGTTCTTTCAAGTATACCCTGCAACATAGTTTATTTGAATCTCTGCATCCATAGACATAATTACCCACAACCATATACATTGGCTTTTCATATTCATAGTCATAGTTTCATACTCTGCAACTGCATACCATACTTATACATGTCATAATCGTCACTTCTTACACAACTACGCACATATACACACTACATCATAAGACGGTATATGCACATGAAAAACGTTCTCAAACAGTTTTACAAAAAAATGTGGATTACTAGCCAAAATCCCAAGTAGTCGTCCAAGCACAGAATAGTTGAAGACCATACCTGATTTTGCCTGCAACTCTTCGCTCTACTCACCCCTATGTACTTGCTATTGTTGCTGCTAATGATCGGCTTACACATAACATAAGCAGAGTAGAAGAATAAAAAATGGTAAGCTCATAGCTTAGCGAGATAATCATCGCATAGTGAGTTCATAACAAAGCCAAAGCACTAGGATCAATCCTCATCTATCTGACAACCCAATAAGCAAGAGATTCAACCACCTTGACTTATGCGTATGCATCTTATCATATTTTAGTCATAGGCACCTGACTACTCTCGTGCTAATAACTCTCCATATTTTAGACATAGGGTTTCTCTCTTTAGGTCATATGCCCCTTGTGATGACCCACTTTTGTAGGAAAGGGAGGACCTCCAAGTACACGTTTTAGTTATCTTATCGGGCATGACCCAAGGAAGAATGGATTTCTACGTCATTTAATGGAAAAATAATCATGTAATATATGCATGGAAATAAAGAGGACGAGACTACGAGCGTCTGAAATCAAACGGCGACTGATTCGGAGTTCGCATGAGGAAGAAAGGACCAGAAAGACAGCAACCTATCTAAAGTCACGGACTGGCCTTCAAAGTTACAGCCTAGACCTTAACTTTGGCATTTTGGCCGTAACTCGGGGCCACGGGAGGCAGAATACATTCCAAAAGTTACGGCTTGAACCCCAAAGGTTACGGCGTAACTTGGGGTCGTAACTTGGCTTTTGTGAACTATATAAATGCATTTTTTTGCGGCTTCTGAAGGGGGAGAGCTAGGTTTTGGAACTCAAACACCCAAGGGACGAACCCTAGAGAGAGAGAGAGAGAGCACATTGGGAACATTCTTGGAGCTATTTTGGAGAATTTCTTCACCATTAGAGCTCGGGAAACAAGCTTGGAGATGGAGATTGAAGATCTAGATCAAACTTCTACATTCTCTCTCTTCTCTATGGAGTAACTTCTCTTCACTTAGGTTTTGAGGAACCCTAGTTTTGTATGCTAGGAAGAGTTGTATGAACTCGAATTCAATATTGGTTGACGTTGTATATTCAGTTGAGGCATTGATTCAGAATTACTTGAGTCCTGATCAAACTTTTGTGATTCCTGCTTTAACCTAGAATGATTGTCTTTGCATAGGTTAATAGAGCAACCTTTATTGGAAGTAGTGGATTAATTGCTTTAGTCGATAAATCGATTCACTGCTTTGTACTGGAATTAAAGCCAGTAGAGGAAGTTTGGTGTGTTATTGCCTGGGTTAGTTTATGTTGGTGGAGGTTAGTCGCCCGCCGGGTATTCAAACAGAGAGGGTCTGGATTACTTTAGTCGAGATTTCAAATTTGTTAAGAAATTTCCACAGTATATCTGTCAACTGAATTGGATTGATTGGGTGAATTACAACTTGGCCTAACTGCAAACTAGGGGGAATCATACCTAAGTGAGTTCCCAAACTGTAATTAGTAGTTTTACTTAGTTTAGTTAATTAAGTAGTTTAGTTTATCAATCCTTAATCTGATTTGCTAGAT